CACCCCAGTGGGCGGTGCCCTGAGGCTTCAAGCCTCTCTATCCACTCTGGTGTCACCCACCCCGGGGATCCAGGACCACCCCCATCTCAGGGCCTTGAGTATATCCATCTGCAAGGTCCCTTTGCATACGTGGTGACTGGTCCACAGGTCCTGGAGTCAGGGCGGGGACACCCTAGCCCCTTGGGGAGCTGACCCCAGAATTTAAGGAGGACACACCTCACCAGTGGCCCACTGGGAGTGGGGAGGCAGCACAATGACAGGCTCTGGTGGTACAGGGCCCTCCCACGGGTGCCTGGAAGTGGCAAAGCCCCCTGGTTCGCTCTGGAGGGGCCTCCCCAGCGCCCAAGGAGGGGCTGGACAGGTGGGGGGCCCCTCTAGGCAACAGTCTCCACCCGCAGGAATGCAACCCAGGGCTTCCAGACAAGCTGGTTTTTCAAGAGAAGCCACATGTCTGGATTTGGGGGTGGCAGCCCCAGATTTCTCAAAGTTGGCAATCTAGCAGTCATGCACACCCCTCCTCACGTGCGGCGCCTTCCTGTAGATCCCCACTGTGGGCCCTGACAGTGCTCACACCCGCCAACCAGCTCACCCTGAACCACATCCCAACACACAGCTTAGCTCCCGGGGGGCCAGCCATTGTGGAAGCTGACGAAAAGCCCCAAAGAACACACCCTGGTCAGCACCCATCCATGCAGGAGACACCAGCAGCGGGGCCCACATCCTGTGCCACGGGCGCCAAGCTCCGCACCACCCGGGGCCAGGCCGGGCAGGAGGGGGCTCTGCACGCCCATGTCACCACTTCCAGGACAGGGCTCCACCCCAACACTGGCTAGGAGAGCATTCCGGAAATTCTGAGGCAGCCCTGATAAACACACATCCCTGCTGAGTGCCTCCCCTGCTCTGCCGGCCCGTGAGTCCCGCTGCCCCCTCCCGCCCCCTCCCGCTCCTCCCACCAGTGACTGCACAGCTGTGGCTGAGGTGGGACAAGCCCTTCCTCAGTTTACCGAGTCTGTGGCAGGGGAAGGCGCCTTCTCTTCCCGGTTGGCGCTGCAGGTCGGGGCAGGATGTGGCCACTCCTGGTGACTCTGGGCCCTCAGCTGGGGTAGGGACTTTCTCCTGACCAGCCCTCCCACCCACTGTGAGTCAGTGCCATAAAAGTTTACTGCCTGCTGGGACCCTCCACCACCCTGGGAATGCCAGCTTCCTGTGGCCTTTGACCCCTTGGGCAGCAGACGCTGAGAACTGCCTTCCGGAATGTGGGACACATCACTTCAAACGCCCGCAGGCCCTCTTTTGGTTTCACTTAGCAGGCCGCTCCCGAGGGCACTGAGGCTGAAGCTGACCCTGGCCGGTTCTAGGAGGCAGAGGCCTGGCGGGGGCCTCCCTGCTGCTGCAGCAGGCTCTGGGAGGAGGCCCCTGGACAGCGAGGCCCAGGGGTAGAAGTACCTGGGACAGAAGCTTCTGGGAGTAGGGGTGGAGCGGAAACCTCCGCTGGAGCCGGGCCCATGGGCGGAGGATGCCTGCTCACACACACTCCCTCATCGGCCAGGTCAGGCTGACCGCTGCTGCCCCTCACCTACCCCTTCCCACACATGAAGCCAGGGGACAGTGGGTGAGCGTGAGCCCAGTGAGTCAGTGCCGAACTGACCCTTCATATTCATCTGTGTACTGTAGGGGTGCCCTCCCACTGAACCCCGTGGACAGAAAGAACATCCACCTGCAGCCAGCAGGGACAGGGCCTGGGAGGGGTCATGTACTCGCTGTGTGCTGGCACCCCCAGGGGCTCACAGCCCCGCCACATTTCTCAGGCCCTCCAGTCAGTTCAGGAGGAGGCAGGTTTCCAGAGGCGCCCCGAAGGACACTCGTGCTCCTTGCACGGGGCAGAGAGACAGCCCGTTCCGGGGCCAGGGAGACACCGGCCACATGTCCCAGGGCCTCCTCTGACGGGCACCGCGTGCTGCGTCTAGGCCCTTCCACATGGGCACAGTGGCAAGAGAGGCCCAGCGCTTTAACACTTTATTTCCCGCAGATGCCATCTGCACACCACGCAATTCATCCCTTAGAGCATGTTCAGAGTTGCATAACACTTAGTGCAATCCAATTCCAGAACACCCCATCACCCCAAAAGGAAACCCTGGCCCCATCAGTCCCCCTCCTCTCCTCTACCTCTAGCCCCACAGGCCCGCTCTGCCTGTGGCTGAGCCCGTCCTGACATCTCTGGTCCTGTGTGGCCTCGCGTCTGCTCCTCTCCCGAGCCCAGTCCCTAGCCCCTCCAGTGCCTCCGCGGGGGCCTGGCAGGTCCAGAGCAGCAGGTAGAACCAAGGGCCCTGAACGACAGAGGGCTCTCGCCTGGGTCACCCCCTGAACACAGGGGCCGCACCGCACCCCAGGGGGCAGGCCACTGCCAGGTCCTGGCATCGCAGCCCACAGGATGGACAGCCCGCAGCAGGAGGGGAAAGGGCCGATCCCAGGGGCAGGAGTGGGGAGCCCAGGCACCCAGACACCAGGGCCACACCGGGAGTGGGCAGCATGGGAGCTGGCAGGCAAGCAGGGGCGAGCCAGGCCTGGAGCCAGTCTGGGCGACCCGCTCCCACCTACTCCTGACGGTCCCGGCCCCGTCCTTCCTGCCGGCTGACCACACAGCCTGGGCTGGGGAAAGAAACCAGAGGAACTGCACGCACACGCTGCACACGCACACGCCACACACAACGGCCACACACGTGTGCCGCACACCCCGCGTCTGTGTACACGCGCGCGCACATGTGGCTCGTGTGTGCTCTCGCGGACGCCACCTTGGATGGTGTCGGTGCCACAGAGCAGCCTCTGCCCAGCGGGCGGTGGGCACACGCTGCTGTTCGCCCCCCCAGCGGGGAAGGGGCAGGTCCCCATCCCTGCCCAGAGGACATCCCAGGAGGGAGGCGGCCTTGGGGACTGGACACAGTTGCCTCTTTATTCTCCATGAGCTGGCTCACGTGGCCAGGGAATGGCACTGGGTCAGTGCTTCTGGGCCGCCCCTGCCGGAGGACCGGAGAGACTGTGCTGTACGTGAGCTGGGCCTGCCCCAGCTGGTCACACCCCTGTGGAGGTTCCCGTTGGTGTCCACCAGCTAGGGGTGGAGGTCCGCGGGAGAGCTCGGCTCCGGCTGCCTACCTGTGGCCCCACCCTGCCAACAAAGCCAACTGCCCTCCTGTGCTCTGCCCTCCTGGAAATGCGGGCCTCCCCACCCCCAGCCGTCTCCAGACACACGCACCCTGGGCTGGACGGGCAGGCCCCACTCCAGCCAGTGGTGAGCAGCCCTCCCTGCAGACGCCCAGAGTCTAGCAAAGCACCTCTGGCCCCAGAACAGGGTCTGGTCCTCACACTCCACCTCCTGGCCAGCCTGTCCTGCCCTACCCAGTCACTTTCACAGCAGCGGGGTGGCCACTCCTTGAGTGCAGCCCCTGGCACTCAACTCTGAGCAGTCTGCCCCCCAAAAAATCCAGGGTGACAGAGACAGGCTGAGTGCCTCAGCGGGTTGCCTCAAAGACAGCACTGGGTCACTCTGCTCACTGAGGGCCCCTGCAGCCCAGCAAGTGGGGTCCAGGACAGCGAGAGCAAAAGGCAAGGGCCAGAGCCAGAGCCAGGGGCCCCACGGGAGGAAGGGCATGGCCCTGAAGTCTCGGGAGTTCCCGAGCCAGTGAAAGACTGCCATTCTCCCCTCTGGGATCTAGGGTCTGGCACCCTGGGTTGCAGCTCTGGTTTCCCTGAACCTTTCCAGAGTGCCCACAGAGACCCGCCATGCAGGACTAGTGGCTGATGATCCTGCCACTAGCAGTGGGTTTACCTGTGGGTACCACAGGAAAATCAGCCCAACCAGACCCCCTGACCATGCTTGCAGCATTCAACCCCCAAGAACTACCAGCAAGTTCACTGTGCACCCTTCTGTGTAGGGCATCAACAGATGGCACCAAACCTAGCCTGTCCAGGTAGGGAACAGACAGGAGAGACAATACAGGGCAGGCGGACAGATTGAAACTCACAGGCCAGGGGTGCCCCACACACTACACAAGCTCTTCCCAGAATGTTAGTAACTCTGAGGAGGGAAATACCCCCGGTGTCCCATGCACCTGCTCCCCCACTACAACCCAGATTCCCCCAGCCTCCTTCAGGGGAACTTCTAGGGGACACCAAAGCCCTCAGCCCCGCCCCATCCGTCAGGCAGCGCACCTCCAGCTCTGGCACCCCTGCCATCCCCTCCTCCCACCTGCCCAGGCACCGGCTCCCATGCCAGCTCCAGGTCTCTCCCACCTCAGCATGCTCTGCCCAGCACCAAGTCCCATCCAAAGCCAGGACCCCACCGGCCCAACACTGGGAACAGACGTGTCTGCCCCTCTTGAAGCACCCCAGGAAAGACCCGGGGGCGGTGGGGGGGCAGGCCCCTGAAGAGGAAGAGGAGGGATCCCCAAGGAGCCTGGGGTCAGGGGTGACCCAGCAAGGGTTACCAAGGTGCGTGGGGCTGGAGATCACAGGGAGGGGTCATCAGGGAATCTGGAGAGGCGGCCTGGGGGGCAAGGGGAGGTGTGGTGGTCACTGTGGAAAGTGAGTCAGGGTACAGGGGGGACCGCGGAGGACCGCGGGCCGGGGAGGGGTGCTAGAGGCCGGGGCGACCGCGGAGGGGTCGCGAAGGAGGCGGGTCCCCGACCGCCACGGTCCAGGGTAGCGGCGGAGGGCGGGGTCAGTGCTCGCGGGCGGAAGTCGGGGGTCGCCACAGAGGGCGGAGTCGAGGCTCACAGCGGCGGGCGGGGTCAAAGTTCATGCGGAAGGCGGGGTCGGGGGTCGCGGCGGAGGGCTGGGATCTGCCACGGCGCTCCTTCGCCGCGACCCCGGAACCCCGGAACCCCGGAACTCCCGTCGAGGGCGCGAGCGGCCGCGAGGAGCATGGGCCGCGCAGTGCCGGCGAGGGCGGCTCAGGCCGCTCGGGGGCGGGAGTGTCGGCTCGGGGGGCAGCCGACGCGCCTCACCTCTGATTTGGGTCTGGCCGGACGCGGAGCCTGTAGCGCCTCCGTTTCTTCCAGCTTCGCTGTAGCTTCGCTCACTTCCGGGTTTCGGGCGCCATCTTGGGGGTCCCGCGCACTTCCGGTCATGCCGTGGGGCGGGACCTCTGGTGGGCGGGGCCGAGGGCGTGGTCGAGGGCCGGGGCGACCTGGCTCCTGAACCGTTCGGGAAAGGGATTCGGTCTCCGCTGTCTCGGGGTTCGAGTCCCACCCTCGCCCGCCTCCGTTCCGTCCCTGGAACGAGCCCCCGTTTTCTCCTCTGCAACATGAGCACAGAATCGAACCAGTCTCATTCCCTGGAGCACTCTCTCCCCTGACCCGTACGCCACCGGGGTTCTTATATAACTCAGATCTTGGTTCTAAAGCACTCTGCGCACATACTTCCCCAAGACCTCCTGAGCTGACCCCTGGGCCCCCAGTCTCTCTCTCCCTTTATTGCTCATTCATCTGTCCCCACTGAAATAGAAGTCTGGGAACCCCAGAATGGAACCTGATAATGGGGAGTGTCTAATCAGTGCAGGGACCACCCCTAGAAAACAGGATGCTCTTGGGCAAGGCCACGGGAATCTGGGTGGTTCCCCTGCTGTGTTCCTTGTTGTGGGTTTTCCTTGGACCTGATGCAAGTGATGCCGGGATCTGCCAGGAAGAAGGTGGGACCCCACGCTGGCACAGATAGCGGCTTTCCTGCATGGGAGCCACTGGCCCACCACTGAGTCCATCAGGAACCTGGACCTTTTAGTTAGGTGGATCCAGTGCAGGGGCACTGAAGCTGTCCACAGCCCCTGCCTGAGTTCCATCCCCAGCCAGGGAGTGACCCACAGGGCGCAGCAGACCTCCCCTAACCTACCTGCTGCTCCCCTCAGCAGTGGATTTCAGTGGATCTTCCTGTTCTGCTCCCCACTTAAAAAAAAAAGTTGCACTTCCCTGACCTGTCTGTTACCAGCGCAAGGTCTCCTGCACCCATTTCAACCTCTAACATTAAAGCATCTCTTTTATTCTTTTCTAAAATGATTTATTTATACATACAAAACTGGGGTATGGGCCAGAGTTGCAGGAGGTGAGAGGATTCATCAGAGACAGTGGGAAGCAGAACAGGCAGATCCTGAAATACACTGCTGAGGGGAACAGCCGGAGGGTCAGGAGAGGTCTGCCTTGCCACGTGGGTCACCCCCCTGGGTGGGGATCAAACCTGTGCTTCAGTGACTGTGGATAGCTTCATAGTGCTGTGCTTTAACCCACTCTGCCACCAGGGAGGACCCACATCTCTTTTATTCATTCAGGGAACTATGGGATGCTACTCTGTGCCTGGCCAACCCTGGGCAAAGCAGGACCCGAAGAAAGAACTCCATTCTCAGCCTGGCCCTGAAGGTCACCCCCAGGCTAGGGTAGAAAATGCCAAGGCAAGACTCTCCTAGCTGCAAGAAGTTCAAAGGATGCAATGCTTGAGGCATCATGGAGGGCTGCCTGAAGGAGGGGTGTTGGATCTGGGGCTTTAAATTTCAAGTAGAAGTTTGCTTAGTCTGACAAGGAGAGGAGTGTGTTTCCAACATGTCTGTCCCACACAATCCAGGCCAAGGAAACCCCTTTGCCTGAAACAACAAGTACAAGGAAGCAGATGGGCAAACAGACACAGAAAAAAGTGATTTATCCAAAATGAGCTTCACCTTGGTGTGCACAGTTTTAGCAATTTAGGTTGTAATCTTGACCTTGAAACTTTTTCACAACAAATTGAAAGAAGTCAAATTGAACCCCCCAAAAAGAGAAAGAAGCTGACGTGAGATGGCACCAGTAGCATTTTCCCATTTCCTGCCAGGCTCATCACTTGTGGGCTTCATGAAAACTGAAAACGTGGGGCTCCCTATTCAATAGTATCGAAACTTTCAATACAGGGCCTCCCTGGTGGCCGAGGGGTTAAGTCTCAGCTATCACCTCAACAGCCTGAGTTTCATCTCTGTGGGAGGCGACCCACAGGGCTCACCAGACCTCTCCTGTCTCCAGCTGCTCCCCTCAGCAGTGTATTTCATCCATCTGCCTGTTCTGCTCCCTGCTCTGTGTCTGGTGAAGCCTCTCACCCCCCC